GCGCTTCACCGCCGTCAAGGAGTACATGCTCTGGCCCCAGGCTGTCAACCACACTCAGTGGCCCGGTACCGGCATGATGGGTGATGAGGTCTTCGATGCCTTCTACAGCTCCAACGTCCAATTCATCAATAATGCCACCTACCAGCAAACGACCGTCCAGGCCGCCGGTGCCGCGCTTCTCGACAAGATCGGCAGACCCGCCGTCGTTCTCGGTCACAGCCAGGGCGGTCTCATGCCCATCATCATCGCCGACGCCCGCCCCGAGCTGACCAAGGCTCTCATCCTCCTCGAGCCTACCGGCCCTCCCTTCCAGGAGGCTGTCTTCAGCAACAAGTCCGCCCGCGCCTACGGTCTCACTGACATCCCCGTCACTTACTCACCCGAGGTCACGGATCCCACCACCGACCTCGTTCAGCAGACCTACCCTGCCAAGGGCGAGAACTATGTCCAGTGCGTGCTCCAGGCCGAGACCCCCGCCCCGCGCCAGCTCGTCAACCTCGCCGACAAGCCCATTCTCCTCGTTACCTCTGAGGCGTCCTACCACGCTCCCTACGACCACTGCAGTGTCGAGTTCCTTCTTCAGGCCGGCTGCAGCAAGACGGAGCACCTCGAGCTCGGCGAGGCCGGCTTCCACGGCAACGGCCACATGTTCTTCATGGAGAAGAACAGCTACGAGATCCAGAAGACTCTTCGCGATTGGATCCAGGCCCTGTAAGGATTTGGCGATGCTGTCAAAGCGGGCCGGTGGGTGTGGAGGAAGAAGATAATTGAGTGATGTGCTCATGTGTGCGTTTTGTACGAAAAGAAGCGGATACCCATAGACGATGAATATCATAATCTGGTAATGACACGCACTCGGTATCCTCGTCGCCTCCCAGTCTCATGCGATCGTCGAGGTTGGTTCGGATTACCGTTGTGACATCCGGAGAGATCTGCCCTTAGACTTCAGCCACGTGCCAGTTGATCCCAGTGTCGGCCGAGTCATCCTCCATGTCCGAGCGCAGCGATCTTTGACACGTTGACGGGAGCTCACATGAGACTTGGGCTATATCTTGACAGCCTGGTCGAAGAAATGATCGTCGCTGGCAGTGGGGGGACTTGTCAATATTGCTTCCGTCCCCTCCCGCTGAGTCGTTGACGCCATGTCATATCTGTCCCCGACGGGGAGGTTGGAGATGAGTAGCTTACACGGACCAGATCTCATACAGGCAAACTGCCAAAGACTAAACCTCGGATTTTGACTTACACGCTCTTGGCTTACCTCTGCACCTTCGCCTCACAGACTTTGCGCTTGGAGCATCACGTTAAGCTCTGGCATCGCCAAACATCGCAGCTGCACCTCAATGGCGTTTCAACTAATGCAACTCATCTTTGTAACAGATTCCAGCACGGTGGCTAAAAGGTGCTGGATCTGTGGTTTAAAATGCAGCTACCTGCCAGGCTAGAAGCTAGAAGCCTTCTAGTTTCTTGTGTCAATGACAGACTGCTTTTGCCCGTGTTGAGGACTCCCAGAAATGGCGACTACAACCAGTGTCATCGCGACCAAGGGAGCGAGCGATGGGGCCGCAGATTCGGGCCATTACACGATTGTTCGAAAAACGAGTATGTTCAGTTGGCACTACTAGAAGTTGCTCGACGCTAATGTTTGCCAGCAAATCTCGACCGCATGTTCTACGTCTACCATCGCCTCGGAATCCAATCCAATGTTCTAGTTGCAGCTCGATACGCCTCAGCCCAACCGGGCAAGCAGCGTATAATCCTATCCGACGATGCAGTCTTCTCAGCTCTCCACGCTGTCGTCACCAAGTTCCCAGAGCTCGGTCTCGTCGGAGTAGTAGGGCCCGCCGCCGAGGAGGGCAAGCATCTCCTGTCTCTCGCGACACTCAACGAGATTGATCTCGAACGCTGCATCGAGTTCATCGACGACGAGACAACCCAAGTCGACGCCGAGTTCCTCGAAAAGCTCCATGGGAAATGGCACTGGGCTGATGGTACAGTCGAGGCAGGAGTGCCCTGGTGGAAAATCATCGTTATCGGACGCCGAGACGTTGTCTTCGTCTACCACCACCTCGTTTGTGACGGCGCGTTCGGTATGATATTCCACCGCGAGCTACTGGATGCTCTTAATGCATCAGCCGTCTCCGACGCGGGCTCCACTCCAACGCGCATCATCAAGCTCGATCCCGACAGGGTACGACTGAGCATGGCCCTCGAGAACACTATCCACAAGAAACCAGCGGTCCTGGGCGTTATCTACAACCTCCTCGTCTTCCTCTTCTACCGGTTCTTCTACGCCAAAAAGCTCTTCTTCATCAACTTCCCTAAGCCGAAGGAGCTACTCAAGGACCCGATGGCTGTCGTTGGGCCCGCGGACCGTACCGTCACAAAGGTCACGACCCATCGTATTCCTTCTGACAAGATGGACGCCATCATCAAAGCGTGCCGCGCGCATGACACAACTTTCACGCCGTTTCTGGCTGTTGTCGTCGCCGGCACCCTCGCAGCAGACTTCTATCCTCACGCTGAAGTCGGATTTACCCGGTACGCCGTGGACATGCGCGCCACGGGCTGCTTCGATACGGCTTCTTCGGGCGAGGGTAAACTGCTCAACCTGGCTGCGAGTCTCCCTGAGCCGGAGAAACTGAGGAAGTACCGCCAGGCCTTCTCAGCATCATCCTCCGTAGGCGACAAGCAAAAAGGACTTACCGCGACCGTCGATTCCAAAGCCGCTTGGGACCTAGTCCGAGACTATGGGAGACGGATGGTGGAGTCGCGGAGCGGCGGGGACGAGTCTCATCTTTACAAGGCCTGGATCAGCGGCAATGCTCTTGGGCCAAGCCTCGAGGAGTTCACCGAGAAGTTGCCGTCGATGGGCCTCTTCATGCAGAACAGTTTTTCAGTCTCCAATGTCGGATGTCTCAAGACCGCGCCTCCGTCTTCGAATGTTGAAGAGCCGGTGGTGAAGATTGAGGATGTGCAGTTCTCGGCCGGCCCGGTACAAGGTGCCGTGGGTTACCATGGTATTGTGTTCAATGTGGCGGGGGTTGCGGGCGGCGACACTGTCATCAATGCTTGTACCGAGGGAGGGATGGCTCCCGAAGGAATGGTTGAAGCTGTCTTGGATGGTGTTATGGCTAGAATCAATGCATTGCTGCAGGAGGAAAGCACTCCAAAGGATGGCAGTGGCCGCAAGGGATTTTGGCATGCCTTTGGTTGAGATGAATTACATTGACATGATCTTCCATAAGAAACAAGTTTCGATGTCTGCCGGGTCTACCAGATAGATGTGGATCTGCACATGCATTGCATCGTCACCAGAGTAGTGTGTCTAGATAGACGTCGGTCTAAGATGACTAGTTGAAGTTCGCCAGGTACTCGACTAAGAGTAGAGGGTGCTCAATATCGCTGATTACTTGATTTAAACTCAAGCCGAGGTGACGTGAACTCTGAGTCCAGTCAACCTAGTCTGACATGTGGTGTCATTAGCTCATAATTAAGGCCATTTATGAGATGCTATTACAGAACTTGGTTCATTAGAGACTCCACGTCTTAGCTGGGCGGGAGGCAATTCTTCATAGAATTTGTATTGACACATCTTACCAACACCACAATTTAAATTCAAGACTATAGAAATCAAAGAAGATGACAAATCCCGCCCAATGTTGCACGAGATTCACACTGAAGGTATGCACAGCGTCGAATAGTTGTGTCTCATGCCTCAAGTAAACTCTGATAGAACGGGTAGGCGACATAAGGTACTGTCTCATTGGAAACGCTTGTACAAGGGTTCAACATCAGACCACTACAACCGATCTTCAAAGTAAATAGGAAAAACTTCAATACTATGTTCCGGTAAATCTGTCAATCAACTTCGTGAGACAAACCCTCACCCAGGATCATGAAGACAAGAACCCTCTTCCAAAGCTGACTTCCCGCCAAGGGACACATCGCGGCCTAGACCAATCTCATCGGAGACCCATCACCAATTCAGTCCGAAAGAACCCACCCAGTGTGCAGTCAGCCGCCGCAGCCGACCCCCATGCCAAATCCAGCTGTAACACCCGAGAAGACGCAATCTAAATCTCGCACATTGGCATTCTGCATCACAAACCAACACGAAAAACTGATCAACTTTCCATCTCCGGCAGGTCGAAGCATCGAGAATAATCACAGACAGGTACGGCGACGAAAAGGCACCAACGGAACCGGTCCCAATAAACGGGGATACGGATCCTCAGGAATGGGTCGGCTCGTTCGTATCCACCGTATCTGAGGTATCTGCTTGGCTGCACCCTGGACCCCCCTTCGCAATCACAACGCTTACGCAGGATTAGGTAGCCACGAGAGAGAGCCTGGTTCCAACAAGAACGGGGGCCGCATGTGGGATATCCGTAACTGCACTCCGTACATCTGCACTTCCGCAACCTGCAGCGGAGCCTGCTGCCTGCATGTTTGCCTGTCTTTCAGAACTGTCAAGCTGCTTGAAGAGGCGCAGACGGCACAGCTGCTTGAAGACTCCGGGAGCCTTGCGTGCTTTGGCTCGACACGGGATGTTTGCTTCCTGCTCTGTCTTCTAAGCGCCCCCAGAAACCCGGTCGGAATACCCGTCGAATCGAGGCCTGCAGCGGGAACATTGGGGGGGGGGGGCAGTCGGTTGTGAGATTTGTTTGCCTGCTGTGCCGTTGGGATGCATATCGTGAAAGTGATTGTTGGAACCGGGGGTTGGAGGGTTTTTTGGTGATATTGTGGACTGCAGTTACGATTGTTCCTGGAGAAGAGAGCCGAGAGACTATTGAGAGCCACCTCGCTTGGCGGGCACGCAGTGTGCTGCGTGACGGAGCCTTGGGGGCAAACGGGTTTGGTATTAAAACGGTCGTCAGCGTCGTCGGTAAGGTCCTCTTCCCAAAGCTTGTTATTCTGTAGCTTTGTCATTCATCAGCAACAGCAACTTTGGCCCATCGTCAACTTCATTATAGCGAACACTGTATACACTTGCAGGGATGGCTACTGCAGACGCGTTGATTGCAAGTCTTCAGGACATCAACGGGGAGAGCTTCGCGGATAAGGCGGAGAGGATACGAGCCAGAGATGCATTGTATGATGCGTTGAGAAAAGTCCAGACGCCGTGGGATATCGCGTGGGATCACATCGTGGTCAAGGGCGGCGGGAACGCGGCGATCAAGACGCTCATCGACGCTGGCGTATTCAAACAGTGGCACGAGGCTGGTGGTAAACCCATTACCTGTACCAAGCTCTCAAAGCTGACCGGCGCCGACGAGCACCTCATCCGTACGTCAAGAACATCCAAGACCCCGTTCAGCCATGAGAAACAGACTGACCTGGTAAAAACAGGCCGCATGATGAGGGCAATAGCAGGCCAACGCCTCGTCATAGAAACAGACCTCGACACCTACGCCCGCACGCCCTGGGCCCAGGCCCTCGGCGAAGACGCGCCTCTGCCGGCCATGTACGGCGGCTTCTACGGCGAGCTGACGAACCCAATGTTCCGCTCGCTGCCGTACTACCTCAAGCAGAACGGGTACCGGAACCCGACGGACAAGAACGACTGTAACTTCCAGCACTGGCGCGGGCCCGACGCCGTCTTCTTCAAGTACGTCGGCACGAACCCGCTGCTAACGTCCGACTTCAATGATGTCATGGAGTGCCATTCGCGGGATAACCTCACGGCGTGGACCGAGGTGTATCCCACGCACAAGATCATCGAGGGGGCGATCCCAGAGAGGCCGTTGGTTGTTGATATCGGCGGCGGGAAGGGCCATGATTTGAGGAAATTTCATGTTCGGCACCCACAGGTTCCCGCGCGGCATCTCATCCTGCAGGACTTGCCCGATTTTCTGAAGGATGTCAAGCCCGATTCTGCCTTCACGATCCAGGCGCACGACTTCTTTACGCCACAGCCGCTGCGCGGGGCGAGAGCGTACTTCTTGCATAACGTGCTGCACGACTGGCCTGACGCCACGGCGGTGGATATCCTCAAGAATATCGCGAGCGCCATGGAGAGGGGTTACTCGAGGCTGTTGATCCACGAGAGCTTGATCAGCGAGAGGGCGCCGCTTTCGAAGGTGACAGCAACGGATATGATTATGATGGCGGGGCTGGCGTCGGCCGAGAGGACGGAGGAGCAGTGGCGGGAGTTGATTGCGGCGGCGGGACTGCGGGTTGTAAAGATTTGGAGGCCGGTGCAAGCGGTTGAGAGTGTTATCGAGACGGAGTTGGCTTGAGAGATCTGATGGAACATGCTCGGGGCTCCTGCTTCGAGTGGGGGGATCTTTTCTTGTTTGAAGTATCTGTAAAGTTTAGCAAGCGTATGGGAGGCAGGTCTTTGATTGAATCAATGTTTTACTTGGTCGAATGTGGTAAAACTCGATTGTTGTGCATGTTATGATCATGTCTGGTGGGTTGAGCATCTAGGGGCGTAAATGACCATCGTGTGACTAGATACTGCTGCTCAAGAATTGTAGGCAAGACAGCTCAGGACGTCGGCCTTGTTTCGTTGATGTTTAAAGATCTCCAAAGCTGTTGATGTAGCATGTCAGTCACTGCCCCCAACCGTGGCCGCCCCCAGCCATGGGTCAGAAGCCTGAAGGTCCAGAAATAAATAACTTTGAAATATCATTGGTGATGTGTATGCTTGTGGGCAGCTCGACGGCATGACCCCTCTTGGTATCCTTTTATACGCCCTATGCTGGCTTTCTTTCGCCAAACAGCCCCGTCCGTCTATCCTCCTCGCCCCTCATCGTCGTCACGTTCTCATGTTACTCGTATGCTAAAGTCTCTCCTTGGGTTTACTGGCGCGCAGCGAGAGCCTCGGCCGCGTGGCGGTCGTGCTCGGCAATGTCGATGGCCTCCCAGGGGTAGTTGATCCAGACGTCGCCGACGGTGCGGGCGGCGAGGTAGTGACCTGAGGTCATCATGTCGGAGGGAAGGGTGCCCTTCTTCGCCTTGTCCTTGTTCTGTATTCCGTTACGTCAATACGTTTGAACTCGAACGAGATTTGCGATTGATTTGGGGATATGACTCACGTGCAGAACAAAGATACCAAACTCAGTCTTCTGGCCCTTGCCGAGGCGCTGGCTAGCAGCCTCAACGTCCTTCTCCAGCTCCTTGACGGCGTACTCAAGGGTGGTGCGGGTGTCGTCGACCTCGTCGACAATCAAGATGCGCTTGCCGACGAGGTTCTCCATCTCGCCGATAGCGGTCAGGTCAAGCCATTGCGTGCGGGTGACCTTTGTGCCAGGGACCTCGGGGACGCCAGGGGTAGAGTTGCCGCCGAAGGTCTCGGGAAGGCTCTCGTACAGGGAGAGACCGATGGCCTGGATGGGGATGTTGGGGTTGCCGGGCTTCTTCAGGAAGGAACGGAGGATACGGGCGGGAACGTAGCCACCGCCGCCGATTGCGATGATGAGCTGGGGCTGGAAGGTCTCGAGGATCTTGACGGCGGACTCCTGGCAGAGGTTGTGCACCTGGAAGAAGAAGAACATCTGTTAGCCCATGTTTTGCGACACCTTGCACGAACACGGAAACCCAACACTGGAATAAGAAAGTAATAGCGCTAGGGGTCTGGAAGAAGGAAGGAAAAACATACATCGTTGTACGTGACGTAGAGCTTTTCGACCATTTTTGCGGTGTTTGGAGGGGTTCTTTGACTCGAATTCGGCTGGTGGACGGGGTGTACTGCGGGGTAGGAGGAATGCTGCAGATTTGGAGATGTCTCTGACGTCTGGTATTTGAGAGGATGTAGAGAAGAAGAAAGAGAACGGGAGAGATGGATCGTGGATATTTCGGAGGGGGAGGAAATATACAGAAGGGTGAGTTTCAAGTGGAAAAGAAGCTTAAGTAGGGAAGAAATGGGACCCAAGGTTTCTGCCAGTGAGAAAGAGAGACTGCCGCTATTCACACGCGAGACGAGGACGGAAGAAAAAAAAAAAAGATGCGCGCCAGGCCTACCAGGACCCCTCCATCCATCGATGAGCAAAAGGGGACCCCGCCATCCAAACAAGGATTGATGGGCTATGGCGGCGGGCACTTGGGAGAGAAATTTTGTCTGGCGAGCCCCGAGCCCCGCGATGACCAGCGGGTTGCTTTAGACCCACTTTGGCATGGATCTGGCTGCTGCGCCCCGGATGCCAGTCATCCGACTGTGGCTTGTGAATGGCTGCTGACCGAGGGACATCATACCGAGGCTTCGGAGCCCGCCGTCTGTCTCGGTGAAGGAGCCCACTTCCGGTGTTAATTTACCAATGAAATCGGCGTGACTCTCAAATGGCAGGGATCAAGTGTTGCGCTCCTTCCAAAGTTCCTTCCCGCCCCAAGTGAGGAAAGAGCTTGGTGCTGAATTTTCATCCCCTGCCACCTGCCACTTGCCATTGAAGATTTGACGAGAATTTCCAGGCTCCAAAACAACGCTGTAACTGTCGCCGCGTTCAACTTTGGCCCAGTCAGCATCGAGTCATGAAACGACGAGAGTCTTCCCAATGTACATAGAGTTGTCGATGTGGAGAGCTTCGAATATGATGACATGCCAATTTAGACCCACTCCTTCCCGACCCTGGCCGCGAGAGCCGATGGGACTGTTTGCTGCTATGCTCTCGACTGTCTGTTGACTATTGTCTCCCCTCAGAGATGAGTAGGTTGTTGGCCCTGACCGGGTCATGTACGAATTCACATGCTCGGTCTCATGAAACTCTCGCTTTTGTACTACTTTAGAAATGGTCTCTGGGCGCAATACGATGGGTCACCATATGGCACATCTTGAGTGGCATAGACTATCGTGTCTTTGCATAAGCTCTGGGTATCCCTTGGCGATAACTCATCAATCCCAATAAACCTTGTGTCCCCTGCCCTCGTAAATGCAGCAATTGTCCTCCCAAAGAAAGCAAAGCTCAAGACCAAGCTTGGCACAAACATAACCTAGAGCGTCTTCAGACGCGCGCATAGAGCCTCCATGAGCAACTTTCTCAACTCCTGATCCCGATACGATCCCTCCGGCGAAATGTCCTCCTTCCACTGAATGATAGCCTCGCTGACAATCAAGTACGCCGCCCAGAACGCGTCAAAGATACCAGGACCAACGCCAGGCCGCGGGAAGAAACGCTCGTTCTCCTAGATGTATCCCGCCGGATCTCCCACGAAGCCGTCGTCGTTCCCATTGGTCGCCAAATCGTCCATGTTCCCCAATCCACTGACCCAGAGCTGAGGCTTGTCCTGCGTTGGATCGTACGCGAGCCGGAACTTGACGTTACGGGCGTCCTTCTGTAGATCGTGGTGAATGATAGCGAGAGCGGTACCCATCTTGCGCGCGAGCTCGAGGACGCCGGGGCGACCGATGAACTTGAGGAGCTGGTCGAGGTAGGCGGGTCGCGTCGCGAGATTCGGGTGTTCTTTGAGCATCTCTTTGACCTCGGGCGGCTGCACCAAGCCAAGCCAGATCTTCGGGTGGAGATTGTAGTTCTCTGGCATTGTGAGAGCCTCTTTCTGGAAGTCGCGGCCGACGGTATGGTCGATGATGATACGGATGATGGTCGGCTTGATCGGTCGCATTCTCTGCATGACGAGTCTACCTTGCATTTCGGGAAACGGTTCCATGAGCTGATCAGGAATGCGGCTGGAGCCGTCCGTGCCTTTGATGAGCTTGAATTGGCGCGGCGCGGCCGGCAGTACGAGACGCGAGAGGTAGGGGTGGTCGACTCCCAGGATCTCTTGGACTTGCTCGTGAAGCGCGTTGGACCAGTGGCTGAGGAGCGTCGCAAACTCGTCGGCAGCAAAGAATCCTTTGCTCAACTTCTGGTAGGAGGATCGCTCCTTGAGGGCCTTGCCATCCTTCAGCATGTATACCTGCGTCTCCCACGCCCTCGAGTGGTAGATGAGGCGGAGTCGGGCCGAGTGAGCGGGAGGAGAAGGCGGGCGAGCCCTCTCGTGGGGGAGGAGCAGGTCCTCCGGCGGATCGAGGTTTTCGTCCTCGTCTTCATCGTAGTCGTCATCCGACGAGGAGGAGGCATCTTCCCAGCCCTCCTCCTCGCGGATGACCGGCAGCGGAGTGATTGTGCCTCTGGATGCCATCTTTGGTGGTGGTGAGATGGTTAGTCTGGAAAGGAGGAAAAGAGGGAAGAGGATGAGTACCTTAAAAGGTGACCATTGACACCCTCAGGTGCTTAGTCGTCAGTATCCGCATTCATCCCACGGGTTTGAGAAACCCTAATGAGGTCGGCTTTGATGAATCCGGCAGGCAGGGCGAAGGCCAGCTTATAGACGGGAAGTTGAAGTTTTGCAAGCTTGCGCTGGCAGTTAATAAAGGCAGGAGCCGTCTCTTATCACTTTCCGTAACCAGGTCGTTCGTATTCGAAACACCATAACGAATACGGAAACGATAATGAGCAGTGATAAAAAGCAACGATAATGACATGGAGCAACGACAGTGATAGGAACTTGAGGAGAAAATCCAGAAAGAACAATGGGCAGGGCAACAATTGTGACGGGGTCTTTTGGGAAAGGCATTCAAATAGCCTGTGAATGTTCACTGTTGGTGATGGGCTGCGACCACTCGGGTCTGCGATGATCCCCGGGAGCGAGTCACCGCTGTGAGGACCGTGGCTGCCGTTCAAATCCTGTTGGGAGACCCTTTCATGGTGCCGCAGGCGTGAAGACATTGAAAGAGAACACAAGAAAGCAGTCTGAAGTGTGAGTTGAAGAAGGCAAGTATAATAATGAGACGAAATGTAAGAACAAGGGACGGCATGGGGATGAAAAACGATGTAAACCAATAAGGTCAAGGCAAGAACGAACAGTTGATATCTGACACTGAGAGTTCTGCTCGAATAGTTTGCAAAAATTGGGCCTTTGCGAAGACGTATTTTATCCCTCAACTTTGAGATGTGACAAATCGGCCTAGATGGCAGTTGTGCCACTCCTGATGCTCTCTTCCCCAACCCCAGTTTCCTATCTTCGGCCACATCTTGAAGCAAGACAGGAGCCGACGTTTGAGCCGAAAGGCGGCAAGGGCGCATGCGGTGGTGCCTTTGCGAGTAAATATCCCGACATCGCAGCTTCCAGAATCTAGTACGATCGTGGTATTGTGTATTGTAACAAATGTCTATGGATGACGCTGATGATGGCTTTTGAGGATGGTTGCCTCCGACGCAGGCTATGAGACGAAAAAGAAGAAGGTAGAAAGGACCGAAGACCAAGTTCCGTGACCCTCAGCCTCCAGTTGTACCTTCTTTTT